CATCCACAAAAATTACTCAAAGAAGTCCAAGCTGAAAGTAAACTGTATATTATTTAGTCTGCTCCATGATGTATGTTCGTGAACATCACGGTTAGCCGTTTGCAATACACCAGGGTTCCTCAAACTAATAATAATAATAATAATAATAAAGTTTATTTCAAAAACACGCTTCATCCCCAAAGGCTCGAAGCGCGGTACAAAGTAAAAAAAAAATTAAAAAAAAAGTATAATTTACCACATTTTAAACAAACGCAACACTACAAAAACTAATTACAAGCATACCAAGTCAAAGTCTTTCTTCCCATTTCAACTAAGGCCCTTAAATGCGTCCTGGAACCAGATATTGAGCTAAAAGCAGACCCATATTTACCATATTTTTCGATATTTACAGATTTATGTTATTTAACAATTAATCTTCATATTCTTAGTACCAGGTTTTGTATTTTTTTCTTGTACTTAATTTAATTTCCGCGATAATAATGAAATATGTGCAATGTGCATAGCAAATCGATCTTACTTTACACACGATATAACTACCAGCCCATAACAGTGTCTAAGATCTAAGCGTGACGTTTGGTGGATTACTGCTCCTGCCACTGCTACTTTTTGGTTTTGTGCCCCCTGCATTCAAAGTTGATAGCTACATTTTTTCCCCACATCAAAACTTTTTTTTTTAACCCATTGTTCACGCAACTTCTCTGAGTTGAGGAACGGAGATCCGATTCCGTCTACAAATGTTGAGGACCCCTGTAATTACAACGACGCCAAGGCAAGAATTGGTCACTCAAACTCAAATATAAAATCCCACTGTTAATTTTAGTTGAGCTATGTCCCTTTAAGCCTCCAGCCTGCGCTAAAAAAAAAAATGACAGCTGAAGCTGATCAAGTTACTTGAAAACGTAAAGTTGGTTTCATAGTCATAGCAATAAAATAAAATGTTTGTTTTAATAATAATGTAGGCTATTACCTACGGTTTCATGTGAGTGTGTTCAAGCATGTGTGGGAAGCATTGAATGCTTCCTCAATTTGGAGTTTGCACAATCATTTGCTGATTAAAAAACTCGACTAATTAGCCCTAACCGTGGACAGTTATTAATACTAGTGTATTGCTTCTGAGCTGCTATGATAATGAAAGAACAATTTCAACAACTACCGCTTTTTTTTTTTAACATTGCCCAACAATTTCATCTTGCTTACCCACTGAAAAAAATTAGAACGATGACAGAATCTCCAGAGTGATATTTCAAACGATGCATGATTTCAGGTTTAAAATACCACCATTAATACAACCATGACATGAAATGATTTGTTAAAGATGTCTCATCGGAGTTTCTCTTAATCAACTACTACCAGGTGCCGGTGCCTTAAACCTTCGTATCGTCTGTGCCTCGATTCGCCGACTAAGATTTTGTCACAACGGTATCAATGAGTTCGTGGGCGGTGTGAGATAGGGTTGTTGTTTGTCTTGTCCCCAATCGGCCACGCCACTGGTACTACTGATTTTGAGTTAATAGCAAAACCCGGAGGATCCAATACTCATTTTTTTTAAAAATAATGTATTCCATGCAATGGGAAAACGAAAATTGCATGTATAGAATGATAATAATAATATAACCCTAACCCAGCGGTTCTCAACCTTTTTAATGCAGCGATCCCTCTATAATATTTACTAAGTTGTGGCGACCCAAACCCAGAATTATACTCTGATAACTTTGAAATTGAGAAACAGGCTTTGAGAAGGGGAAGAAAAAAAAAAAGGGGGGGGGGGGGTGCAGAGCTTGTTTGTAGCTTCGGGTGTTGGTACTTTGGTTTCGATCCATATCAAATAGTTGATCAATTCACACAACCGGTTTAATACAGCTAAAGAACTGCAAACGTCTAATTTAGGGGGTCAAGGGTATGAGAATCACCGTGAGTCATGTCACGAATGTTAGGCTAGATCGTGTCTGAATGATCGTTGGATGAAGGGAACGGAATAATAAACAAGTGTGTGGATGTTATATAAGGCGTGATATAGAGAGATGATTTATTGACACAGTGATGAGCGATAGCTTCTATTTTTAAGATAGACTGAGTTGTTATAAGTATAAGGAGATGCAGCAACCAGGTGAATCTGCATGACCGATACAGCAACCAGGTGAATCTGCATGACCGATACAGCAACCAGGTGAATCTGCATGACCGATACAGCAACCAGGTGAATCTGCATGACCGATACAGCAACCAGGTGAATCTGCATGACCGATGCAGCAACCAGGTGAATCTGCATGACCAATGCAGCAACCAGGTGAATCTGCATGACCGATACAGCAACCAGGTGAATCTGCATGACCGATACAGGGTGTAAATAAGAACCCTAGTCATTCATAACGTGTTCTTTGTTTCAACATTCGGTTTTCCTGGGTATTCGTTGATAGACAGTGTTGTTGTAGAGTACCGGCACGGTACAATCGACAAACGTTGCCAGAAAAAATTCTCGAAAACACTGGACTAGAATAATTTAACAGAAAGACGAAAGAAAAAAAAAAGTTAAAAAGCAAGAACAAAAATTAAAATCATGTTAATGTAATTTTTTTTTTTCAACTATACGGTACCGGCTGAATTTCCGACCAAAGGGAATTAACTCTTTACTTACCGATAGCGCAGGTTGTAGTTGCAGCAGGAAAAAAATAATAATTCCAAAAGCTACTTTGCAATATAATTACATAACATTTAACATATAGTGCACTATATTCCGAAATACCTGCTCCGTATGAATAATTACCATTGGATCATTGAAAAAGTATGCACCTTACAAGGACTTTTCAATATAATCATTCTAGATTATTGTAAAAGGCTACAAAGCAGTGTCCTGTACATGGATGAACTTTGAACACGAGGCATCCATTGGGAGTTTCAATGGATCTGTTAGTAGGCGTCTTTCACTTAGCTCTTTAAATTTAACATTCATAGTATATAGCATTTTTTTCCTGCCATACATTCAACTTGGCTGATGCATTGTGTTAGTTGCGTTAGTGCCAGTGGCTGCAGGGCTGTCAGTCGCAGTACGTTGCCTTACTCAGAGCCAGTTACAGATGATCCAGCCATGATCAGCTCAAAGCATAAGTCCAAGTGTGTCTTTGAAACTTTGATTTATGCCCAGAATGTCGAGTGAACTGATTTTTGTACTGTACACAGTGAATTTGTTGATTGTGGCAACCTGGAGCACAAACCATAGAAATAGAAGAGACCTACACAGTGAATGTGTTGATTGTGGCAACCTGGAGCACAAACCAAAGAAATAGAAGAGACCAACACAGTGACGGTGCTGACTGTTACGTAAATTGTTACTAGAAGAGTCCTCAGTGTTACGTAGTTTGTTTTTACTACGGTACTAGGACTATGATTTAATAATATATTATTTAACTATTCTAAGCTAATATCACTCCACAATCACCAAGTAGAAAACTTATTAGAATTAGAGAGCGTCTGATGCCACCCCTCGAATGGGTGTTTGTGGTGATGTTAAAATTTATCCATCCCCGCCCATAAGAGTTCCCCTGCAACTGGCAGTCAATCGAGTGAAAGGACCGTGGGGCTGTTGGGTGCCCAAACCCCCCCCCCCCCCCCAAGACTTAATGAGCTGTGGCTCAATAGTTTACTGTTTTTCTTTAGAGAGTAGTTCTATATGATATATGTAAGTAAAAGTTATACCACCACACTTCATTAATGGAATCTGGCTTCATACTTGTAAGGGAATTTTCCACAACTGTATCAATCAAATAGGGTTTGACTTTGAAAATGGGATCATGGTATCACTCCCTCTCTGAAGAAAATTAGCATTAATTATTTTGATGAAAATATGTTAGAAGCTTCATACATGTTACTGTTACCAGACATAACTTTTGACACTACTGGAACATTAAGCAGTTTATTTGTTGACCAATACAGTCTGTAATTGAGCAATACACAAATGCCAAAGTTTATATAAAACCCGCTTGATGATAATGTCCAAGCTTTTCAATTATTTCAAATGCTTCCAACTTCCATGTGTCTGATGTTGTAAGAGCCCGTTTCAGAGCATGATTAGTTTCTGTTATTGTCTATAGAAATGCTTCAGGAATTAAATTCCCGAAGGTCTACTTCTTTCAAAATATTTGACCACACAGGGTCACCATCCTGTTAGTTATTTGTCCATGCGCTCTAGCCACTCCAGGCCCAGTCCTAATATCTTCATCACTAGAATCAAACTTGTCACATTCCATTACCATGCCGGTATTAATTTAACCACCGGCACCGATAAATCAAAGTCAACACAAGAATCATCATCAATCAATAAGTGTCAAATTTCTCATCTCTGTCCCAATGAGGACACAGCCCTGTCATATCACAAAATTAAAAGCAGTTTTTGCAATTACTACACTAAACCATGTCTCCTCACTGTAATCAACGTAATGACTTAAAAGTTGGCAGTAAGATGATCCCTTGGCCTTTGGTTAAGTTCAAGATATCCATTCTAAAGGAAATAGTTTGGCATATGCATTATATTTTGTAGCCGGGTTTGGCAGTTACTGGGTTGAATAGGATAATTAAATTATTGGCAGACATTCGCTTTATAATTTTATGTAGCTGTAGTATAATTTTAGTGTAGTGACAATAAGAAACTAGTACAATCGCTTAAAACAGGCCTGCCCGCGAAATAACGAAAGATTCTTATTTATTATTTTCTCAATAGCTTTCACCCGTTATCTTTTTATCGACCCGCACAAGTTTTTCATTAAATATTACGACCCGCCTTACATTTTGAGTTGGGCAGGCCTGATTTAAAACATTACTGAATTTCCTAAGTTAGTTACTGGGATTAGTCATTTGCTCGCTGGGATAATATCTTACATTTCGGATTGAATTTAAATCCATTACAGAATGTCGGCTACATTACTTACTCTGCTAACACTAACAGCTATACTACTGGTAGTGGAAGACAAACCATAAAACAAAGAAAATAAAAAACAAAGGTAATGTCAAATGTTACAATAAACTTTAATGTAACAAAATATTGGGCAGATAAATTATTTCTTTCCCTTAACTGGAACCTTCTTCTTAAGCTTCTTAGTTTTGGGCTGTGCTGGTGCCTTGCGTGCTTGTTTCCTCAATTTGCCAAACTCAACATTAATAAGTCGGTTGCGCTGTTGAAAAAAATATTGTAGGGTATTGAAAAAGACAGGAATAAAGAACTATATTCAAAACTATTTAATACTATTTTTAGTGTCAGAACTGGATAATCAGCACTTTCTATACAGACGGCACTTCCTATATCCGTATTCATCATTCATCAACATAAATCATTATAACTGAATTTAAAATGTAATTTTGTGTGTGTGTGTGTGTGGGTGGGGGTGTGTGTGGGTGTGTGTGTGTGTGGTAAATAACGAGGAAATGTTTATTTTATAAACCATTAGCCTCTTTATCATTTTAAAAACAAACTAGTTTTTCACAATCATACATTAAAATTATTTTTATATTCTACACATATATTGGCAAACTTCTGAGCCCACCAAGTTGACATAAAAAATGTATAAAAACTGTAATAGATGTGACTATATTTGTTTAAATTAACTCATATTCCTGAACAAAGGGAAATAGCTTCCCTTTGCAATTGATTTATATTTTTAAAATATTTTAGCTGCTAAATATCAATTAACAATAATGAATAAAGGATGAATGCATCAAGAAATGAATTAGTTTACTAAAAATAACATTAACAGCGAACAAATAAATTGATTTTTGGCACCTCGGATGAACACACGCTAGACATAGACACACCGTTTAAAATTGTCAGAACAGGATAATCAGCACAAGTCATACAGACGGCACTTCCTAATCCAACTTCATCATACACTTAAAGCTCTAGCTTAACAATAAAATATAAAGTCAAGATGGGCAATAAACTGAAGAAAAAAAAAGTTAAAGAGGGTTACTGATCCAGTTGATATTACTCACCGCTTGTTTAGCTTTCATGAGCTTGAACCTTTCAAAGTCTGTCAACTCAGCTCTCTATATATATGAAGGAATAAAAATGGTTTTAGGGGACAACAAACAATTTTGAAACAATGGACATGGACTCCCGATTAATTTAAGTAGGTAGTCCAAACTAAAGAAAAAAATGCGTTTTAGGGTCATTTTTCGAAGTTTAAAAAAAAATAATAATCCTTTTCTAGTAGCGATACAGCAATAAAATTTATATGTGAATAAAGGTTAAGTCTTTATCTGGCGAAATGTGTTACTTGTAGGACTGTAACATGTGTTTGAAAAGTATCAGTTCTGACCAATTTTACGGCGTTTTCGCGAGTACCGGTTTACCCCAAGGTGTTTCAAACGCCCACAGCTTCGCGTGTATTTAAGTTATCGCATTAATTCTACCACCATAAGAAAGAGCAGATGCTGTCCTTTCGTTTGATGCCTTTGGGGATGAAGCGTGTTTTTGAAATACACTTGATTATTATTATCTACCTTGCTTATTTCATTTTGAAAAAGCCGGTTGAAAACTTTCGTATTAAAAAAAATGGTCGAAAACATGGAGATATTAGGACTTTCTTTACACCGTTGGAAAGATCAGGTCTTAAACTATTTAATATCACGAGATCAAATGACTGGGCATGATTCTCGCGAAGCGGCGATGTTTACAAAGACACCCCCATTTCCAGTTCCACACCGCTAGCACTAGACGCCTAACGCGCGCTTGGTGACTAGTACCAGCGTTATGGCGGGTGCTTTTTTAGCCATGTTGGGGCTTTTAATCAACAAGTAAGTAATATAATTAAATTTTCATATAATGTATTAGTGAATGTAAATGTTGATTAGAAGTGAGTTAAACTTAATTTGGTGTCGTCAGCTATTAGATATATTTTAACGAATTGGAGCAATTGTGAACTTGACTGGGAGACATGTTGCCGATCGGACCAAATGTATTTAATTGAGGACAGTCTAGCGATAAAAAAAATTGATAGACATGTCGCAGACATGCTAATGTTTGATCTTTCTTATATTTTATAAATATAATTTTAAAATAAAGATCGTATTGTTGATTTCAAAGGGGGTTTCTGTCTGATCGAGAAAATAAAAATGGATGCCGGCGAGTAAACATTGGGGTGGACCGACGTAAATTTTTATCTGGGGTAGGAGGCTTCAAGTGAATAAAACATTATACACAGCAAATTAATTAAAAAAATTATTTGTAAGCTTATCTTGACAATGAGATTGTGAAGCATTTATTAAAACTCAATTAAACAACTGAGTTAGAATTGTTTCAATATTATTTCATCTTAGACTCACTAGTACTACCGGTACCTATAAGGCCTATTGAAATGGACTCGCCCAGTTCTCTCAATATTTAGTCTTTATATTACACCTATGAATACTTAAAACAATGTTGTATGCTCTCTAAGTTTAATTGTTCATTCCACAGCGGAGAAACCTATGATGACCCTGGGTGCAACATTGTGGCTAGAGTTGACAATTGCTATTGATAATGCACTTATCAAGCTACTGGGGAATAAGACCAACAAGCATATTACAAATTGGTTACAGAAGCTTACCCAGTCACCCCCCAGTTGATAGACCAGGCATTTCCCTGACAATTTAATTAAAATTTATGCTCCATTGCTGTCTATTTTTGACAATACTCTGCATTGATTTTTTTAAGAGTCTTTTAATTAATAGTTAACACATCTGACATCATATTCCTTTGATTTTATCACAATTATGTGATAAAATGCATTTTCTAAACACATTTTTTAAACCTTCATTTAAAAAAAAAACGTTAAGTGGGTACTTTTAGACTTATTTTAGTGCCTTTAAGTGTTTATTGATGATGCATGTTGTTCTGCTTAAAATTATCTTTAATTTGATGTATGACATATTTATGTAAGTCAATAACAGAAATGTTGACAAATTTTTGAAAATGAGTATTTTTACACTTTCCTGTCGGGAAATAAAAATGACTAAAAATCATTCTTGTTATATTTTATTTTTTAATAACTTAAGAATTAATAGATCTGGCTGCTTGAAAAAAAATTGGGCTCAAATATTGTAAACTTTGAAGCACATACACCAATTCCTGGACTTCTCTGTTGATTATTTTAGAAAATATAGGTCCTTAAACATGGCACTTTTTCACAAGGTAAAAAAATCTATTTTTGGTCGATTTTCAGCAAATTTGAAAATCGCATAACTTTTTTTTATTTATTGAGATATCCACATGAAATAAGTGGCCTATATCTTAGAATAAAAAGTTCTGTCAGGTGAAACTCACCACATGTCTGCTATGTATAGAAAATTTTAGTTTGGACTACCTAATTTAAGACATGTGAGTCAGATAAGGAAATCAGCACTGGTTATGCAGACGGCACTTCCTAATCCATGTTCATCATTCACACATGTAAAAAATAAACCGATGGTTAAAATAATATCTAAGCAAAATAAATTCATTAAAAAATTTCATTAAACCATTATAAAAATTCAATACCAACCCTTTTAGCTGTTGCCAGCTTTTTAGCCCAAGTAGACTGTTCCCATTTCTTGGTAATTTCAGCCTTTTCCCAGGCTTTCCTCACAGTCCCTGTACGTGCAGAGGGACCAACACTAACAGTGAATTGTGTGAGATGAAGTGCTTTGAAGTTAATGTCTTTACGTCCTACACCTGAGCAGGGACCATCAACAAGAGCCTGTTAAAAAAAAAGAAAAGTAATTACTATGTCTTCAGAATGAAAAATTAAAATAAACACAATGCAGTCTGAGTTTAAAGAAAGGATCTATATTAGTACTGGCTTTGTAGGTGAATTAATTTAAAAAGAAAAGAATTTAGTTTGGAAAAAAAAAAGTTTTTATACTTTAAAAAATAAAATTGTTTTATTTGTTAAAAAAAGCTTTAAGAAACAAGGTATTATATTACAAAATATGAAATTAGTTTAAAAAATAAAATAATTTTGATCACAAAAAAATAAAATACTAGTCATCACATTGTCAAAGGATTTTAATTTAGTTATTTATGAAGGAGCTATTTGTTCCTTAGAAGAAATGTACCCAAGCGGAGCTTCTGATCATGGAATTAATCCTAAATTTGTATATAAATGTATTGACTAATGCCAGTGTAAAAAAGTAAGCTTAATTTTATTTTAAAAATCATTTCTAAAATTGAAAATTCTTTTGGTAAAAGAAGTCATATTTTTTATAATTTTACCTAGTGTAAACATAATATTTCAATTAAAGATTGCAGTTCACTTTTCTTTGAGTTTTAATAAATGTATGATGCATAAGATAGTGTTGCTATATGAGATAAATAGTGTCTAAAAATAAAAATGGCTGAAAACTGATAAAAAATAAAATTAAGGACTATTCATTTATTACTGAATATAATTCTTTTACATGTATAACTGCGTTTCAATTTAGTTATCAGTAGTATTAGTAGAAACTACAATAAGACAAATTTATGTTTTTAACAGTTCAGTGACGATGCATATAAGTTATAACAGACCCAGAAGCCTTAATTCCCTTTTCATCCTAAATATTAAGCCTGTATTCCGGCATATTACTGTGCAGGTTACAGGATGATTATTTTCTAACATTTTACCCGAAACACAACCTATATTTAATCTCTTGGTAGCAAAAGCCTAAAAAGAATAGAATCACATTATTTTAATAAAATAATGGTTTATTCATTATTTGTATACTAATTTAAGCATATACAACAGTATAAGTATAAACATTTTTTTTTTACTAGTATACCTTTACTGTTACCATAAGGGTTAATTTTTATTTATAGAGCAAAGCTTTATTTCACAAATAAAATTTGTATACTGCATCTTAGCAATATATGACAAATACCTTCCACAAATAAAAAAAAAATAAATTCATAGAAATGATGATATGAGATGATGAAGTATTATATTTTAATAATTTTAAAAACTTCTTAGATGGATAATCATACAGTGCAAAATTATTTTCAAAATTACACTTATAATTAAAACAAAAAAAACTCCAAATTTTCACTAAGTAAGTAAATAAAGTACAAAAAAATATTAAAAGATGATTATATAGCTGATAAGATCAGATATATTTCAGGTGACATTCAATTAATTACAAATATCACCTTTAAAGATTTCTTTTAAAATTGAAAAAAAATTTATCAGACTGCATAGAATTAACATAAAGGCATTATTGACTTTAACCTTCAGACGGGCATGCTCTTTTCCCAATGAGACCGGGCGATGTGTATCAATTTGATGTCGCTAATGAGTGACTGTTAAATTAGTTTATCTAAATGAAATTTTGTCAAATAATTACTTTTTAAAGTTTTCAAAATACAATATAAAATTCATCACCATTAATTTTTTTTTTAAATTTCCTCCATACACTTGAGATTCTTAAAATGAAACATTTTTTATCACCCAGCATTTTAGACTGCAGAAGTAAATAAGGATCAGTAAAGATATCTCGTTTTGGTGTGATATATCAATATTATTTTTACTATTGAATAATAAGATAATGCATCAGTCTGTATATTAATTTGAAAAAATAAATTCTCAGAGAAAAAAAAAAAAAAAAAAAAAAAAGAACAAAATAATAAAAAAAAAAAAAAAAAAAAAAAAAAAAAAAGAAAAANCATTAACGTGTGCGAAACAAAAAGGTTAAATGCCCATTTTTAAAAAAGCTGAATGATAATTTCATTAAAACGTTTAACTTGTATAGTATGACAACTTAATTCATATCTAACATCACATTAAAAATATTTTTTTAAATATTTTGTAGCAATTTAAAATGAAATCTTTAACTTTTATTGGTTGCCTACTCCACACTGGCCCCTAATTTATTTTATGGATTACTGGTACACAAACTCATATAACAAACAAAACAAAAATGTTTTCAAGTCACTTTCACTTAAGTTTTTTCTCTCTATTATTTGCATTCAAGATACTAAGTACATTACTTGGTAGAGAAATAGATTTTAAAATTAACAATAGTTTTTGAGCCATTTGCAGTCACGTGACAAGGCTGAACGACAAGATATCTCTCGCCACTTTGTTATGGCGGCCTCTTAGGTACAGGTAATATAATAAAAACTCGCAAACTAACCCTGTTTTGGTCAATCACATCAACAATGACAACTAATTTGCCTTTGTCATCTCCATGGGCAACAAATGCCACACGGCCTATCTCAACAAATCGCTCGTATGGCTGTGGATAAAAAACAACAACATTTGAATAGGGTGAAGATGGCAATGGTTTTGCTTATGCTATACAAAAAAATATATGGGCATGGTCAGCCATTACTTTAAAAACCCTGATAAATGCAAATACTTGATAAGAGCAAACCATGTCATCTGATTTATATATAATTTAAAGAACCTGCAGTGGGGAGAAAATCTATTAGAGAAGACTTTTAGGACTATCTCCCTAACTTATGCAATGAAATGCATCTTCTAATTTTCGTATTTTCAGCCTTGAGGATGTGCTTCTGGTCAAACGTCATTAATTCCTTGTTGATAAAGTCATTTAGCATGGTACCGGTAAGAAATTTAGATGGGTCTAAACTTCCTTATTTATAAACTGATTATATCCATAAATATATGTATGCCTTTTTTAGTGGAATAATTTTTTAAATAACTCAACTTTTAAGTAGGCCTGACCACACAAAAAAATAATGTAATATACATAAATATATATACACACACACAAATATGCCTTTATACCACAAATTATAATATCTATTTGAATGAAGAAATAAGATAATTTGTAATACATCCAGTGGACCACAACAATTAACATGGCAGACATCAGGTTGCACACCGTTGTGTTAAGCCATTTTCCGTTTAATAGTGGTCTAAAACTACAGCAAGCTTTATTGACAGAAGGGATGAGAAAAGATGGAGAAAAAAACTGGGCATTAAAATTGTAATGCTGCTTAGTGACTTCTAAAATAGATTTCAAATGCCGCTTAATTGATCAATAATCTATGTCAAAATCTATCACTGATGTGCTGAACAGTTGAGAATGCATTTAAAAAAAAAAAAAATGCAGTTTTGAAAAGGAGCGCCAATGGTAAATTAAAACGAAGTGTCTACACGTCTGGCGGCATGTCACGTGACCGCCGGACGGCTGGTAGTTTTTATTATTCCGTATGAACTGCAGTTTGGTAGATCTTGTGGTCTAGTGGTAGATTGGTTGCTTAACGTTATTATGATTTGATGATCAATTCCGAGGATAGGATTGTTGTTTTTTCCCCCATTTTAATTAAAACTATTTTATACTATATTTTTATTAATATTTTTATTATCATGTTCATCAGCAACAGTAGTTTCATGAGAAGTTTTTAAATATTTTGTAGCAATTTAAAATGAAATCTTTAACTTTTATTGGTTGCCTACTCCACACTGGCCCCTAATTTATTTTATGGATTACTGGTACACAAACTCATATAACAAACAAAACAAAAATGTTTTCAAGTCACTTTCACTTAAGTTTTTTCTCTCTATTATTTGCATTCAAGATACTAAGTACATTACTTGGTAGAGAAATAGATTTTAAAATTAACAATAGTTTTTGAGCCATTTGCAGTCACGTGACAAGGCTGAACGACAAGATATCTCTCGCCACTTTGTTATGGCGGTCATGTAACTTGGTCGCTGGACGTGTAGACACTGCCAAATTAAAAATCTTCCATGTATTTATTTCGTTCAGTAACCAACCTCCCCCACCCTCATTGTTGGGGGAATTTTTTTTTAACCAGGTCTTATAAAATCGTATGTGACGAGTCTTCTTAGAATTAGAATATTAAAAAAGATCTCAAAATCGTACATTGTATGTTAGAATCCTTAGACTACTAAGAGTTAACAGGTCTGAAATAACCGATGATGAATGAATAACACTTGCTATTTAAGAGGTGTTCTTGTGAGAGGGGCTCACAAAAAGACATGCAAGAACAATATTTAACACTTATATTTTGAATACAAAATGATAAAATTTCAATGATTAGGCATAGCTTATCTAACACATATGGTAACATACACTTAATTTTAGCCGTTTACCCAAGCAGTTAAAAAAGCTGTAATAATTTTATAATTATATTATATTATGTCCCTAATGTAGACTGTATTATTATTATATAGGTACTGAAACAAATAGTTTTTCTCCGGGTGAAAATAATTGCCGGGTTACATGCCTTTTGTTAAGCTGTTTCCCCTCTCTTTCAAGACAAAAATAATGTAAAAAAAATAAATAAAAAAATTCATTTTAATCTGTTAATTGTTATATTAATATTTGTCTGGATCATCAGATTGAGCCTGTGACACCAAATTAAAGGCCCAATACTAATACTAATGCTCAGTGAAGAACTAGAAATTTATCATTCTCATATTTCAGGTCCAACTGTCAGTCTAAACTCTAGTCCAGTGTTGTCCTTCCCCAAAAATAACATCACTGTGCTTAGGCTATGGTGAGACAACTCTTTGCAAAACCAATGCTGCTAATAGCACATTTACCCTCCCTGGATACCACTGTTAATTTAAGTTTGAAATTAAGTAAAAGTTAAAGGAAATATATGACCAAGGAGTGTAGGCTCTCAAAAAGACTCTGTTCAACTTTTATTTTAGTCAATTTTATATTTTCTTATATGCTTTAATTAACAAGTTATCCCACAATAATTCACACAAAAATCATAGCTTTCTTTTGACCCAGAGCCTGCAATGGCAATAGTTATAATACTCATAGTAAATTTGGTATCCATCAATTGCTTTTTTCAAGTCGGATATGAATAATTAGGTCTTTGTCTGTAAATTAATTTTGAACATTTTGTCTAAGTCCCTAGTATTATGATGATCATGCAAATGTAATGTAGGGTGGGGTCTAATAATATAATATAATGACAATGAATTTTATGATGATTGAAGTCTGAACTACAAAGTATATATTACATTGCCATTGTTAAAAAATATAAATAATTCCAACCATTTTTTTAAATATACAAAAAATCCAATTATTGTTGTGTATAACGATTGAAGGAACAACTTTCGTTGGGTGCTAGTCTAAATAGTGTAGACTCCTAAACCCACATGGACAATTTCAAAACATACGAATTATCGAAAACAGGTGGTTTCGTGACAGAAACCCGGTTAAATACTATTTCAATCATTTCCAGAATAAAATCGTATTTAATTATTGTTTAAATCATTACCATTTACTTCTGATGTTGGGTAATTTTTATTTGAATTAAAAGTAAAACTATGTATAAATATAGCGAGGCAATAATTAGAGGAGTGTAGAACATGCGTTTACCATTCTTAGAGTCCTATCTTGAAAAGGAAGTGCAATTATTTCTGGGATACATCAACGAGGTTTTATCCCTGACCTTCAAACTCCGATAGGGAGAATTTATTTTTTTTCTTTGGCTGTGCAAAGATCTTTTTTTTTTCATCGTTTCAAAAATGTTTTAAAATTAATCTACTTAGACTATGACATTGCCACGTCTGTATTTGTTAAGGATAAAATACAATTTTAAATCAATAACTTTATTTTTCTATAAATTTTTCACGAAATAAATATGAACATATCCACTCCCCATCCACATTCATAGTTCAAGTACTCTTGGAACTTGGGCAGCACATCTTACAAAATAAAACAATACACTGACAGTTACACAATAACAGTACAGTAACTACAGATTAAACTGTAACGCAAAGTGCATTTGTGCAGTTGCAAACGGCTAAAATGTTATTCAGACAGTTAATGAAATGTTTGAAGCAAACATCTTTTAGCCTGAGTGATTATAACACCAAAAGAAACTTTTTTAGAGCAGTAAGTTTCAGCTCGTGTGTCCTGTACTCCTTTTTTTAGGCTCTATGCTAGTAAATAACTTTTTAAAGTCAGTTGTAGGCGTAGAATTGGGTATAGAATCTATCATATTGTATAACTAAGCCTGCCTAAGCCATTTTAAGTTCATTTGTTCATTGTCACTAACAATACTAACACTAACATTTCATTAAATTAACAGTCTGCTGCTGTTACTGGCAGATTTAGTTTTAGAGACATAACTAGTGTAACTAGGAGAAAACCATTTAATTTTAATTATTTACAAATAATAAATGGGCTCCTATATAATATTAGGCATAGGCTATGTTTTAGTATATATTAACTGTTGTTGTAAGTCGGCTTAGGCTTAGCCCAGAAACAACAATCACAAAAAATAATGGTAAATGCCCCCAAGCCCAAGAAGATGCTAAGGCTAAAGTCTTTTTAAAGACTAAGACTAAAGATGATGATGATTAAGTACTTTTATAGCGTTTGTGTCCATTCTATTTTAGCATGCTCTCAGCGCTCTGATGTCCTAAAATCTATTTTTTAAAAAAAAGGCTTAAATGGTTCTTAAATAAATAAATTTGATCTTTTTCAATGTCCCTCAAAGATTGAGGCAAACTGTTCCACAACTTGGTGCATTAGTCTCAAAAGAGCACACCCCATATGACTTCATTCTGTGTCCATCCACACTGGGAACTCTAATAAGGACTGTGTGGAAGAGCACAGGTTCTTTATGGATAAATTTTTAGAAATCAATTTCTGAAGATATACAGTTATAGAGCCTTCTATACAAGGACAGAATTTTGTAGTCAATGCACTCACTCACAGGAAGCCAATGGAGATCTTTAAGAAGTGGTGTGATGTGATCAGATTTTTTTATATGCAATACAATGTGTGCTGCAGTATTTTGTACCTTCTGGAGTCTCTGAATTTGGTATTGAGGTAAAGCCAACTAGTGGGGTGTGGACTGCACTTATTGAACCCCACAGGAGGGTGACACCAAATTTGACATAACTGGCTTGAGACAGTTTCATAAAAACAAGAGCATGATGCAACCAGAGCAAGTTGCCACCAGAAAGGTTGTCACTAGACAGGTTGTCACTAGGGCATAGTCCCACCAGATATCAGGGTGCCACAAGAGCAGACAGAATGAGAATGTCCTCATGGAAGTGTGCAGAAGATGACACCATGAGTTTACCGCACTGAGTAACATCAACTCTAGTGACACCAGTGGATCACAGTAACTTGTTTTTCTTTTAACTATTTGACATCTTTGTACACTTTTCCACTCCTAAGATGAAACATATTTCATTTCGCTGAGAGATTACCGCCTAAAATATAAAGTGTATATAAAATTTTAGAACCAATTTTGACTAAAGATTATCTTGGAAGTCGACCAAGCTACAAGCAAACTAATTATTAATTTTTATAAATGCTATAATGTTTTTTTATTACTTTTAATTTTTTTTTAGGTTCAATTACAAGCCAATATACCAGGTACCTTTGTTGGATCATTGAAATCTATTGTTGGTGATGCAAATGTTTCCACTGCAGATGCTGTCAGGGATCAACATGGCCATGATGAATCACATCATGAGTAAGGAAAAATCAATCTATATTTGCTAAGAAGATACGCAGACCTGTTTACTCGCATATTTTGGCATAAAATCTACGATTTTGAGATGTCTTTTATGATTGTATGTCGATACCTGTCAAAACTAATATTGTGTCTAATATTTAAGTATATAAAATTAACACTCCCACATTTTTTTAATGATAGTGGTGATGGTCATATTGTTGCTTTGAGTTTCCATAATGAACTCGCTACCCACAGCAACAGCAATATTAGTGTAGTCCCCCTAGTGACAATTTTAGTCAATTCGGAGTGATCCATATAACATGTACACATTGAGAGGGGAGGTGGGGTTGTCGATTTTTGAGATTTTACGCATGGGTAGGTCTCGGCAGAAAGTACGTGCATTAATCAAAATTTCTACAATATTCATCCTGAAACTCTGAAAGTCCAAAAATAGCATATTTATATCTTGAGTGCTGTAAATTGTAAAAATATCATGCAATGTTTTGTAGGAATTATTGTCATAATGTTGCCATGTATTTTCACAAATTAACTCGGTAGATATCACTCTTATAGTATTTAGTAGTAGAGGTATTACAGTCCACCTTATTTTCAACGTGCATGGGACGTATATTTTTTTGGGTACACCAGTGTTTCTAAAATTTTCGCTTCTCTGCGCCTATGGTGAATTCAGGTTTTCTCCAGGCTTCATGTGTTCATCTCTAACAGGTACACTTTGAAATAGCAAATACACAAACAAAAAAACAAAATAAAATAAAGGGCGGGGTAAAAATAAATATAACACGTATGGTTGTCATTAAGCTCCATCCTGCAAACAGTAGGTAGTCAAGTTTGTTACACTTTGCACCATGGCCGCTAGATGTCACATAGAAAGTAAAATGATGAACATTTTATAATATTTTGCAATGCCCCTGTGTGGAGGCCGCAGTAACCCATATAGAAAAATTTGCAAACCCCCCCCCCCCCCCCCCCCCGACAAATAAAAGGACTATTTTTAGCACCCCTCGTCTTTGTGAAATATATGGGATTTATAGTTTAATTAGGTCCTTTCTAAAGATGATTTTGGCACCTGTTGCTCTTCGCTCCATTCTCATGGCCCTGCCCCAGGGCAACGAGCTTCCAGGATGATGCGACATATATTTTGGGAACCACTGGGCTCACACCAGTGACACAATTTGTCATTTTGTTTCCTGTAACATCATAATTATTAAAGATTATTGGATTTTGTTGGTGTCTTTTTTTTTTCAGTGGTGCTGTATGGTTTAACTTTGTGACATGACTATTTCTTATGGTTGAACCTTGATGAGTGCAGAAACAGAGAAAACTAGAGAATGCATTCTCAACAGTTCCGCACAGCAACATTAGATTTCGACATATTTTATTGGATCTGAGAGGGCATTTGAAATCTATTTTTAGAATGCTCCAAACAGCTGTACAATTTTTAATACTCACTCTTAACTTTTACAGAATGTGGTAGTTATCAGACCGTGGTATTTAACAGGAAATAGGCCTAATGGATATTGATTTAATTTTTTATTTTTTCAAACAGCAATTCCTAAAAAATAAATTTCAAGTTACTTGGTAGGTTTTTTTAAAATGATGCCCAAATTTGTTAATTAATTCTTATTTTAACCAATTTTAGTTGAAGCTGATCAGAAATAAGGTTTGAACCAAAGTAAATCTCACCAGTAACTTTATTTTTACCAGTGACAGACTGAGATCATGTGATCTGCACGTGCACCTAAATATTAATTATATCTATAGCAGATAAATGCCTGCAAAAAAAGTGACTACAGATTGCAATATAAAAGTCAGCCATCTTCTTTTAGAAGTTACTCATATTGATGCTAGCTTGATCCCACTAGACACGCTATGCCAGTAGTTATTGTTTAAATTATAAGTACTGTATATTTATCTATTTAATATTAAGATACTGATATTGTATTGTACGATTTTGAGACAATATTGTGCAATTTTAGGAGCTCGAGGGTAAACCGGTCTGGATATATAAATTTTGAAAGTCACAGATACTAAGATAGATAATAATTCTCCACAGATGAAGGCTGTGGTCATTTGGGTGGGTATATGGTGGTGTAGGCCCCAGGCGTCTAATACAAGAGTTGACAAATTCATTATTTATGCCAAATATGTGTATATACAATTTATTGGAAAGTGGGAATGAAAAAATCAGACTTTTTCCCACAGACACAGATTTTGCTAGCCTTATCTCTACCACAAACAAATTCAGTTTCATTAATAGTGAAAAGAGTTGATGCTTTGGTTAAATTTAAGCATGAGCTGGTGAAATTTGAGACGAGTTCAATAAATAATTAAAAATACTAGAGGATTCATATGTGTGTTTTAAAATCAACTGCTGAGTTAACCCATTTAGTTTAAACATTTACTTTATTGTTCTTGTCTTTAGGGTGCACAAGCCAGATGTGGTAGTTTTTGCAGAATCTCTTGAACATGTGTGCAAAGTTGCCAAGCTTTGCAATGATAACAAAGTCCCTTTAATTCCATTCGGAAGTGGGACAGGTTTGGAGGGAGGTGTCAATGCACTACAGGTGAGAGAAACATAAAGAACCTTCAAGTTTCCTGAATATTTTAAAAAGAAATTAAATGCACAAAGGAACTCGATTGATTATTTATTAAGTAGTTATCAAGTACTTTTTAATGCATTTTTTATGGATTTAGAAATTAGAAAGGCAACATATTAAGTGCCAGTAATTTTACAGAAATTATTTTCAGCTGATGAAAAATAAAAAAAATGATCAAAAGGGAGAAAAAAATCAGCTGTTCAATATTGATAATTTTAAAAAGTTTTAATATTAATTTATTTTACCCAGTCCCATGATTAGAAATAGTTTTTCTGAACTTCTTGAGTTTCAACTAATACTTGTCACAACATGTTGCAATGTTTGCAATGTTATCTGATTGATGCATGCTCTTTTACTCCCGTCTATGCCCTTTCACAAACTGATTGAGGTTGAGTTTGCAGTGTTAAAATTTGTGGGTGCTTTTTTCCAACTTTTTGGAAATCGTACTTTTTTTTATAGCATTTTAGTTTTATTTTCTTTCTTTTCTTGAAATTAATGCACAGTGTTACTTTACAACTAGAATTTGTTACTGAATGGGATTCAACTATGATGGTTTTATAATTTGGCCTTGAGATAATTATTTTGTATTATGCTTGTGTCATCAAGGTTGATGTATAGTACTTGTTAACTTGTGTAAATTGTGCACAAAAAATAAAAAGTCTGTGAGGAAATGTTTTTATTATAAAAAATAGTTATTTGCAAACTTTAAAAAGATTTAATTTGATAATGGGTTGTTAAAGGCGGCCAAATTGGGACAAATCTAAAATCACAAAAACACCCCACTTTTCCTAATTGTGGCTTTAAATCCATTGTGAAAATGGCTATTGAAAAGCAGATTTCAACTTGTTTCAAAAGAAGGTATACATTTGAGAAAATAATTATTCAACAAATTGGAATAAATAAAAATTTGAAATTAAGAGGCCTGAGAGGATGAAAACCTTGAGATTGAGTGGGTGTCCTCTAGACCAGTCCTTAGCAACCATTTTTGCCGCACACATGGCTGTAGAGCTCTGTGCAAGATGGCAGGACCTTTGTTCTTGGATGATGACACCACTGTCATCTGAGAGCCAGCCTGCTAGGTGCATTAGATCAGTGCCATGCCAAAACGGGTCTGTAAACCTTAAATGTTTGGCAAAACGCTGCAATAGATTACTGTATTGAAATTGAGGCTAAATTGGTCTGGTTCATTTAAGTCACGATGAAACAAATTTTTAAAAATTATTGCGAGAGGGGCACATGCTAATGTTTCACTGGAAAATGTAGGTTATAACTATTAGCCTTAAAGATTCTTTACAAAGCTAGACACTCTAACTGAAAATTGTAAGGCAAAATGACAAGATATCTGTACATTATTTGATTTTTTAAAGACATTGATCTTATCAGTTCAAAGATAAATTTGAGTTGTCAGGATAAATCTAAGCAGTGTTTACAACATTGTCCCTCTACAAAAGTAGCAATAAGAAGATTATAAATACTTTATCCTGATTTTCATATTCAAGGTCACCAACAATTACTGACCTGTGCTGTGCTGAATCGTGCCATAGCAAAAGCTGGGCTCGTTATAGATACATATCAGGTTAATTGTCTGTTGGGACAGAGAATGGTTGTAATTCTATCATTAAGACAAGGGCAGGGAATGGTTGTATCACTTTATCAAGAGCAGAGGATGAAGGTATCACTGAGACATGGGCAGTGACGATAGATGGCAAGGATTGAGCCATCTTACTGCATCAAGGGATTATTGGATATCACTATCTAGAAGTATGAAATGAAAACTTAGGTTCAGACACCCCCACCCCCCTTTATGTTAAGACTACAGGTCTAGGCACCTGTGTTGTCCCTGCTGTCAACACACTAATGATGGTTGGCAAATACAATCCCTCTTACAGAAAAAAAAATGTATATGATAAGATGGTCGGTGCAACTGTCCAAATCCTCTTAAGAAGTTTAAGTGCCACAGGTTGACAGGAGCTGTGTCAACAGACTGGGATAGTGCCCGGTACATTTTCCCAAATGTGTACTGTGTCTGAAGGAAAACACCTCGAGTGAATGAATTTTCGATGTGTGTCACTTTGCAATCCAACCCCCCTGCACATGGTAGAAAGATCTTTAGAGTGAATGAGCCAGGTTGGATGTCAGTGGAGCGAGGTGAGTTGCTACCGCCCTTTCCCTCACCATTCCTCAATAATGCTCTATTATGAGTACCCTGTTTAGCTTATTATAAGTCACAGATGTACAGTTATGTGTCGCTGATTTTGAGTCAATATGTACTAGTAGGTGCCCCATATGTAGCTTATGTTAAGTCACTGGCGTACAGTTATATATAGCTGGTGTTGAGACAATGATGTAGTATTATGTGTGCCATGTTTAGCTGATGTTTAGTCAATGATGTAGTATTATGTGTGCCATGTTTAGCTGATGTTTAGTCAATGATGTAGTATTATGTGTGCCATGTTTAGCTGATGTTTAGTCAATGATGTAGTATTATGTGTGCCATGTTTAGCTTAAGTTAAGTCACTGATGTACCAATTATATCTACCTTGTGTGGCTGATGTTCAGTCAATGATGTACTTTTATGTGTGCCATGTGTAATTGATGATAAGTCACTGATTCACTATTGCATGGTACAGGGTGGAGTGAGTCTGAACATGTCCAAAATGAATCAAGTTGTAAAAGTGAATGCTGAAGACTTTGACTGTACAGTACAGCCAGGCGTCATGAGGATAGCACTCAATGCCTACCTTAGAGACACTGGTCTGTGGTTCCCAATAGGTAATGTACTAATTGGAATAAATCAGTATGAATCCTGGAGGCAGACAGATGTTTGGTCTGTTAAATCCATTAATATGTTGTCATTTAATTTAAATGTTGGCTTCTGATCCAGTGATAGATACATTTTTCCTAAAAGTTTGTTGACTCTGCATCACAAGTTTGTGTGTGTGTACTCCATATTTCAGTCCATATTTTCAGAACCCATGATCATGTGACAATCTTTTCTCTCACCTAATTAACAACCTTCTCTTGTTCTAACATCTTTTTCTGAGCTGTTTATTTCTCACCCACTGCCAATTATTCTGGGGTTCTTCTCTTGTTTTCTTTAAATTTCCCCTTTCTCAGTTAAAACGTCTGATTTCTGAATGCTTGATGTTAATGAAACTGTGCACCTTTTATTCTTGTGTGGTTAGACCTTAAAAGTTTTCTCAAAATTAATATTAACTCGAAAAATCTTTGTGCATTGCCTGTTCTGTGATGCTCTTTTTGATTGGTAAAATGTATGTCTCTTTTTTTCCCCTCATTGCAACAGACCCAGGAGCTGATGCCTCCATATGTGGTATGTGTGCTACAAGTGCATCAGGCACAAATGCTGTTCGCTACGGCACGATGAAAGAAAATGTCCTCAATCTTCAGGTTGTGCTCCCAGATGGTAGAGTTATTGAAACGGCAGGGAAAGGCAAGAGGTCAAGGTTAGTGAGATCTAATAATGCAAAGATCATAAATATTTTCACTGATAAAATAGTCTTCAAAATAGCTTCAGAGGCTAAAGAGATCTAATCACAATGGAATGATGATTTAACCATGCATAGCTTTATTGTCAATTTTTTTAAATTATAGTAAAGTACATGTAGAAATATTTTATATCCACATATTAGCTGTATATTTTAGGATATTATAAAGAATAATTTTATTCAAAGCTGTATATTAATAAAATCATGTTTAGCAAGAAATGCAGAAATATACTTCAGTTACCCTCCTAGAGGTAGTCAGAATACTGGACAAATAACTCAAATCTTAGTCAGTCTTTTTTTTTTTTTGCCATTTGCTGATCACTTTTCTAGTTTCTCTCCAGAAGACTAGTCTAAGACCTACACTTGGACAGGCTAATGCATTGTCGTTGTTCCCCCCCTTAAAAAAACACAACTAATGTTTGATAACAGGCTCACATATAAACACTTTCACTAAAATAAATTTCTATTTTACTAAAAAAAATCTATTCTTTAAGTATTTTAGTTTCAAATTTAATTCACCACATCTGTCCTGTCATAATTATCAACGCTACAAGGATGACCCTTACTCTCTAAGTTCATTGGGAGATTTATTTTTTTCGGTATTCTCTTGAAGCAAGAACAGCATCTCATTATTAGACCATATTTTCATCTTGTTTGCATTTATACAATCTAGGAAAACATCAGCTGGCTACAACCTGACCAATTTGTTTGTTGGGTCTGAAGGCACTCTGGGTATTATTACAGAGGCTACAATTAAACTCTATGGCATTCCTGAAAAAGTAGGTCTTGGCAAAAATAAAAAGTTTCTGATTAATTTGCTCACATTTAAATGAAAACAAATGCTGGTAATGTTTAATAAAATATAGTCTCTTTCAAATGCTATGTCATATCTTAAACTTCTCAAGTATGTTAGGCTTTATAATAAACCTTAATGGTAAAGCAATAATTAAACTCAAAATACCAGTTTTAATCAACAAAATAATGTTAAAAACTGCAATAATACATCATGACCTAAGTGTTTATGATATGACTGCTTCTTATTAGTTTTTTTTTTTGTATGTGTGTCTTTTAGTTTTTTTATAATTTGGTTGGGGTGGGGATTAAAAATATAAGTAAACATTTATTTATACGCAATTTTTTTAACACAGAAGAAGTTTGATGTTACTGGCTTAGGGATATGCAATGTACATTTTGAATAGCTCTTCTTACTACTAATGTCTTGTATAAAAGGTAAAAAGGTTTGGGTGGGTGGTAGGTCTTAATAGTTTTAGTATAACACTACAGTAATAATAATATAATAATAATAATAAGTGGTCTTATATAGCGCGGTACCCCGGTACACAAAAAGAGGAAAATGTATTTGATTATTATTGACTTTGTCTGCAGACTATTGCTGCAGTCTGTCATTTTGATAGTGTGCAGGAAGCTGTGGACACAGTGGTTCAGATAATGCAGTCTGGAATCTCAATGGCTAAACTTGGTTGGTGAATATGTTGAGAGAGACAAATCTTGAAAAAAAAAAATTAAACAAATAAATTTTGTTACCTATCTTCATCAAGTTTATGAAATTAATCCATTAAAAGTAATATAAAATATGCTTGTTTTTTTGTTTTTTTTATAAATAATAGTTATTATAGAATCACTTGACAAAAACACCAAAAGAAAGCCACTAAAAGAGTAATTTTGAAAGACTCCTTTGAATATGTCTTTGCAGAATTTCTGGATGACAAAGCCATTGAGGCCTTCAACAAGTACAGTAAGTTTAACATGAAAGTGGCCCATTCTCTTTTCCTGGAATTTCATGGACCAGCCTTGGGGCTTGAGGACCAGTTTAATACTGTCAGTGAGTACCATTTTGTCTTTTATATATTTATTCTGTTCACATCAGATAGAGTTTTAAAATTTTTCTGGCTGTTCAGATAAGGGTATTATTTACATTTGTGTGTGTTCATTGCAGATAGCATGTACTATGCTTAATTTCTTTCAAGAAATGCCATTAATTCTCGTTTGAATAGAGTATGGCTAATAAATAACAAACTGGACAAATATGAAATTTATTTTAAAATAAAAAATATACCACAGGAGTACAATTATGGTGTGAATGTGAAATTCGATCACCTAGTCTGTGAAAATATATTTTTAGGGGCCCTAGAAAGTCACAATTTCTCAGCAAGACAAAAATTTAAATGCTTATTAAAAATTATATCTTGACAAAATGGCTTCATTTTTTCTTTTCACATTGAAAAGTTAAACAAGTTGAATAAATGTTCCTCCCCACAGAGGAACTTATTACCAGCAACAATGGATCAGGACTGCAGATAGCAACAGATGAAGATGAAAGGAAACGGTTATGGAAGGCCAGGCATGAAATGATATGGGCATGTACTGCTCTTCTTCCAGGCTCTAAGGTAAAACTAAACAAATCAGTTTACATTGAGTGCCTGCAATGAGATTATTATCAGTTCAAAATAAGGCATTTAAACATGATTAATGACTTCTTAATACATTAGTGCATTTTTATATGATGTACTTAAACATTAAGATTTTATATCAAAGAATTGTCAATTATTTCCATTAATTCCTACACAAATGTTATTTTGTCTTCTAGCCTTATTCAACTGATGTCTGTGTTCCTATCTCTACCTTGCCAAAAGTCATTGTGCAGACAAAAAAATGGATTGAGGAAGCAAACATTATAGGTGAGAATATGTTTGGAAATTAATAGATTAGACTAATATTGGCCATGGATTTTCAGAAAAATTCTAAAGATTAAAAGTATGAAAATATTGGTTTAAAAAGTATAGAGCAGATTTGTGAGTTTCTGGCTCATTCCTAAACATGTTAATTACTTTCAGTTTAATACAGCAACATTTTAAATACTTTTTATTTTGTTATTTATTCTATCTAATTTTTTTTTAATGTTCTATGTTTAAAGTGGTTACATCAGTAGTAAAGTGTTTCTAGCAAGACATTTTTAGAGGTGAACTTTTTTTAATATCCCTTGAATTCATGACCAGTTGAGAATCTCAGTTTGTTAGTTTTGTGATATGTCAAGCCTTTGTTTTATGGCGTTGGTTGTGTTTGTTCACTATGTGGGAAATGAATGCAAATAGTGAATCTTACAGAAAGGATCATTCATGAGTTGAGGGTGGTGTGGAAGTAGAGTAGGGTTGTTGAAACTGTTCAGTGAAGTAGCTTGCATTTATTGAACTGATATTGATTAGCATGGCTTAGTATCACCGGTACATTGTTTTGTTATCTTAGAAAATAAACAGCTTTTTCCAGTGTCCAGTGAAATCAGAATTTCTGATGGAATGTAAATCAGAGTTTTATTATTACAGTAGAAATGATCTGCAAAACAAATGCTGTTTCAATGCCTGAACTTCCCATCTACTAAATTGACTTGACAAAACATGCATTCAATTGAGGCACGCCATAAGAATTCCAATGAAAGCATATTTCAGGGAATTTTATTTTGGTGCCTATTAAATAAGGCGTTGCAGCCATACATACCTACCTAGATTACTAGAGTATTATCAGGGTGACGTTGAATTTAAAATTTAATATGAGTAACAATTTCCCTTGTTCTTGTATGTAATAGAAGTCAAACAGTAAGAATCAGAAAACCATATTGTTAAGCTTATTAAATTATCAGTTTTGGAACCGATAACTGGTTTTTTATTTTTACTAGAAGATAACCTAATTTTTGTCATTCTTTAAACCTTTGTCTTTTTGTTGTTTTTTAAAATCAGAATTTTCTTACTATTATTTAATAAATGAAAAATCTTTTAAAACAATAAACAAAAGCATGTTTACAGTTGCATGTCAGCTGATGAGATTTTTTGGGTGGAAGTCATTTTCAAAAAATAGATGACCGTCTCTAAGATTGAAATCCAGGGTCCCTTTGAGTTGTCTGCTGTTCAGGTGTGTAGTCTGATAAATAAAGGTTAAAGTTGGTACCAAAATTCGTTAACCGAATGAAGCGGTTCTGTGAATAAATACACTATCGATTGCGACTTAAAATCTTATAAAATATCATATGTCAGTGTGATTTTGCTGAGCGGAAAATTTAAGAATGCATTCTAAGAACCGATGATGGATTTAAAACCTGATTCTTGAAACCGATAATTGGTTAGCTGAAAAAAACTTTAGAATCCCTGTACAAAAATCATTTGCTCCATGGAGGTTTTCCATGTTTATTTTAAAATAAAGCAATGATATATTGACCTGGACTGCCTTCTTTCAGGACCTATTGTGGGGCATGTTGGTGATGGAAATTTCCATGTGTTTTTCCCTATGATGCGAGGTGATAAAGAGACGTATGAGAAAGTCCAAGATCTGCACTTCAAAATGGGCTTGTGAGTAACTGAAGCTGGGACTTGGGCTGTTTGTTTGGTTAACTCTCATAACAATGAATAAAATTTCACACAAACAGGATGAGACACAAAGAAGTAACATGAACATTTTAAAACAAGTCATCAACCCATCCAATTTTAATCTAGAAATTTTCCGTTTTAGTAAAATTTTCTTTTTAATGGGGAGAAATATATAGGACTAGTTACAGCCTGCCAAAATAAACTCACTATTACACCATACATACCAAGAGAATTATATATTTGTTCTCATTAATTTATATTAAGGGGAAGTTTCTTGTTGCGGAAAAAAGTGTCTCATTCTGAATGTTTTCTCCACAGCATTAACAGATCCAGTTTCTATTGCACTGTAAGATTTGCCTTGCCCTTCTTCTGTATCGCCACATTTTATCAAGAGTTAAATTTCAATATTTCAACACTATGCTTACCTTTTGTTGTCAGCTCCCATCCTTGGTCATGCTGGTGATGGCAATTTTCATGTGGTCTTACCTATGACTAATGATCAAGTTCACAATGACTTGAACATGACAATAGCTTATCGTATGGCTCAGTGAGTAGTTAACCAGTGTCACTGTCAATGTCAAGAATGAGATCAATTATTGAAAACAAAAACTTTTATTCCAATCAAAACTAGCTTATGGTATGGCTCTGTGAGTAGTTTACTAGTACCACTGTCACTTTCAAGAATGAGATAGATTATTCAATACAAAAACTTGTTTAATGCTGCTGCCACTTGCAAGAATGAGATCGATTAAAACAAAACTTACCTTCCAATCAAAGTTCTAAAATTTTAAACTGTGTCATGGGTACTATTTTCTATAGCCTGTTTGTTATCCTAGAGGAAAAAAAGTGATTATGACATTATATATAATGTAATGTCTGGAATAAATCTAAAGTTTAGATAAGATTTCTTAATGGTGATACATGTATATATTTTTTTCTTCCTTTTTATTGTAAGTAGCATTGTTGTACTGGTATATTTCTTTGCTATTCTGAAATTAAAGTTTCTGCAAGAAATGCAACAAAATGTATTGTTTCACCCACATATTTTGGGGGTAAAGTTTGATATTTAAAAAAAAAAAAATTTAATTTAAATTGGACTTGTTTTCAACCTCAGCACTAGATAATAGTTGAGGAAAATGTAGGAAAATAATGTAAAAAATTCTTCAACACTAAGCTACAGGGGAAAAAGTTCAAACAGATTAAGTGAAGAATATTAATGCCAAGCACTATATGGGCGAATAATTTTTTAAAAAATTTACTGTCACAAGGTATTCTGTTGTTTAACCAAAATTGGCTAACAAAAGAAAATTAAGTAACTTAACTGAAATGACATTTATATTTCTGTTAAAGTAATGTTTATAAAACAAAAATGAATTAATCTAATATATACCACGCAATTCCTTTTTTCAATTTTAAGACTCACTATTAGAATAAAAATGGGATTTATTGCACAATCTTTATTTTTAGATTCTGGAATATATCAAAGGGTTGTGATATTCAAATCTGACCTCTTATTATTTGACAGTTTGGCAATGGAAATGAATGGCACCTGTACAGGTGAACACGGCATTGGAATGGGGAAACGAAAACTTCTAGAGAAGGAGCTTGGGCCAACAGGCATTGAAGTCATGAAGGAAGTGAAGAAATGTTTTGATCCCAATGGTATCATGAATCCTGGGAAGGTATTTTTTTGATAAGTAATTTTGACAAAATTACTTTGCCATAATACAGGTAAATTATATGGACTCCATGATGTCAAATACTTAACAATTTCAAGCTTGAGTGACGTGTGATGTGGCCTTAACATGTCGTGGAGAGTTGGAGTTTTATTTGTTTATACTGCCTAGTAATTCAGGATTTATGCTTTAAATATGAATCACAGAAATAGTTTGTGATCAGCTTGAGAGTACACTTTGCAGCAATATAGAATTAACAATGTGATATGATGTGGACATATTTGTATCAGTTGTTTTTTTAAACAGTTTTACATAATGTTGTTTTTTTTAAAAAGTATACAGTTTTGTTATGACGACGATGAGTATACATTCTTATAAAATAAGAGCTGGATGTCTGTTGTTAGATATACATTAGATAAGAAATGTTGTGGTCTGAAGTGCAAGTCAGGGGAGGTTTGTTTTCCAGCCCAGCACACTGTACAGTCACAATTACCATAATAATTTGTTTGAGGGGGTTTTCATCATATAAAAAACTGAATTTTCGGAGCACATCTTTCGTGTGATCAAGATAAAAATTTCTCAATGATTTTCTACAACGAAATATATCTTACTTTCAGAAGAAAAAAAATGTAATGCTGACACTCTGGTATTTTATAAGTGATCTGTGCATATGGATGATTCAGATAAACTTGGTCATACATGTTTGTGATTCTGACACAAGTTTAGCCCCAATGGGCTGTAAAAATGTGGGCAATGTTGTCACCTGCACTATGTTTTACTAGGGTTTATACATTCAAGATGCCTTATAGTTTTAAAGCTCTGCTTCAATTTGATATGGACAAAAGGCTGTGAAAACTATTATAAAATTGTTTACTTTATTTAATAAAAACAATTGAGTTTTCTAAACTGATTAGATTAAATGAAAGTAGAAATAAATGTTTTGACAGTTTCAGCTCTACCTCTGTTGTTTCAACTCAAAGCAGCTGGCCTTTGTTGATCATTATATTTTTAATAAGTATCGAGGATATTTTTTTTACATAACTTATCGGTTTCTTGTTATTCTTCGCTCAAAAACATTTATCAAATGATACTGTGTTACTTTGTATAAATATCTTTGTTTTAAGTGCTGCCAGTTTTGAACTTCTGATCAATTGCTGGCATTTTCTCCAGTGATAGCCTACTATTAAAAGGTCAAATATTTGTAGGAATGGTACTCAGTGTGATTCTTTCTATTTCACTGCCTGATGTTCCACACTTTCTTGCATAAGAAGAAAGGTGTTTTTTTTGCTTTTGATAATTCTAAGTTTCTTATTCAACATTATGAAGTAGTTTGGTTTGAAAAACTACAAGTTACATCAATATTTTTTTTTTATTTTTCAGTGATTTTTATAAAATTTAAAATTATTGTTTTTTAATATTCAAATTTCTATTATTTATTTATTTTTAAAAATTGTTTATTTATTATTAAATATTTATTGGATTACGTGCTCAGGTTCAGGACAGGAAAAAACTAGAAGTTGCTAATGACATTATGTTTAAAGTCATCTTAATTATTAATTTTTAAATTTCAATTAAAGATTTAAGGGGAAAAAATGATGGTGAAGGCTTATTTTAATCAGCATTACCTTTTTAAGCCACAGCATTATTAGGACATAGCAACCTTGCCTTGTTATTGCAGCTGTCACTTGCATTTTATGTGTAATTATGAATAATTAAGGCAGAGATCAGTTCGTCATGAAATACTGTTGTAACATTATATTTCTGAAATGACATCCATTTTATAGAGTGCACATTTTCAATTAATTTTTTTACATAAATTGCAAAAAATCCAAAGACAATAATAATAATGTCCAATCAAAATGTCGTTAAAAGTGTTAAAAAATAAATTTGTTCCTCTTAAAACTAAATGTTAAGCATAGTTAAAATAGGTTGTGTGATTTTTTTTATTTAAAAAAAAAATTAAACTGCTGATGAAAATTTGATGCTTAGATGTTACATATACTAATTATCCTGGAATTTTGACAATAATTTATAAATACAAATTAATTACGTTTTGTTGGACTACTAAGCTCAGAGTGCTGTCAACTGCTGGTTAATGTAGAATTTGCATTCCAAAAATAAAAATATAAGTTCTGCTGAAAAAATGGAAAATTTAAATCAATATTAAATTTTTTATAACCTCTAAGCCAGCGGTCTCGGGCTGTGAGTTGCGACCCTTTTCCAGGGGTCGTCTAAGACCATTGGAAAATTCATATGCTCTACAGTTATGAAGTAGTAATGAAAATAATTTTATGTTTGGGGTCGCCACAACATGAGTAACTGTATTAAAGGGTCACAGCATTAGCAAAGTTGAGAACCACTGCTCTAAGGGCTAAATTTTTTTAATTAGCTGTATTTAAATTAACCTTCTTATTTTATTCCAAAGTCTATTTCCAATTCACTACTGTTTTATTTGTATTTTTGTTGTTGTAAAGAATTTGAACCAAATTTGTTGAAAACTTAAAAGGTGTTAAGTGACAGGACTTATTGACTTGTACAGGTTTAGAATTACATTTTTTTAAAATTAATTACCCCACATTGAATGCTTACCCATAAAATACAGGATTGTTGTCTGAGTTGTTTGAATGTTTGTGTTGTATTTATTCAGATTAAATCAATTGACCATTACCGCCGTATATGGTATTAAAGAGGGCTTACTGCCAATGTTGCTTTTCATGAGGCTAAACTTCTCCATGTACCATCAACAAATCCATACAATGAATTTTTACCACAATTTCTAATATACCATATATTTTTTTCCATAACAATAGCTTTACAGAGGAATTTTTATTTGTTATATACTTATTGCAAAATTTTGACTAAAAATGGCCTTGATGTTGATACCTAGAATTAGTTTGACCTTTGAATGCTCAAAGTATTAGTGAGATATTATTTAATTTTAATTGTACCAGGTTGTTTGTTTTGGTAATTGAATTATTTACTCAGATCAATATTATCAGGGTGTGTTTTTTTTGTGTGACACCATCTTATACATAGAGAAATTTACAATAGATGTGCTGTTAATTTTTGTTCTGTGATATAAACCACCAACAGCCAGACTGAAGCATGGTAAAAACTGCCGAGAATAACCAGTTGATTTACTGTTACATTGAGCATAATTTTTGTTGTTGAAAGAATCGTTTAACTCATAGATCTTGTCAAACTTAAATACTTAGATCTTAGTGACTTTAAAACATAGATGTCTAATTATTTAAGGTTGAATTTAATGACTTAAACACACATACTATGATATTCTTTGTGACTTTTATTAATAAATTATGCCTTATGAATTTAGTACATAGACCTTATGATGTATGGACTCTGATGGTGACAAAAGCTAAAAATATTAATTATTTAATTGAATATAAAATAATCAATTTTTGTTATTTATGTTTCCATTATTTTTCCATTATATTTTTTTTTCTCTGAAAATGCTTGCTTGGAAATTTACAGGATTACAAAATAATAAGTTTCAGATACAGTACATCAACATTGTAAATTAACAATACATTTTATAAGTTATAGTAATCAATATTTATTTTCCTCCATATAGAAATACCTTTGTTACTTGTCTAGTTGAAAAAAAAATGTATGTTGATTTTTATTAAAGGAACTGTTGATAAAGCTATGACACATATCATTTATTGGGTTGCATGTTTCCTACTATGATTTCACGTGATATAACAAACAAGAAAGCTGGCAATAAAATTAAATACCAGAAAATCCAGTTTGTGTTTTTATTTTTATTAGATGATTTTGATGTATGCATTTTTATAATTTATAATAATTTGTTTAGAAATAGGAAATGAATTTTTTTTCTGAAACTGAATATTCATTTGGCACAGATCAAGTGCAGGTAATAAAAAACAAAACTTATTTGTAATTTTCAAAACGTTAGCTTACCAAATTCATAGGTTTCAAAAATCCTCACTAACTCTTATCACATAACTATTAAAAGCAAGAAAAGTAAATAAAGATTAAATTTTAATTCTTGTCATCTTTTTCAAATTAGTTGATAGTTTGTTACATAAAGCGATGCATCCCATATACATATATGCCTTAATTAAGAAATAGTGCTAAAGTTAAGGGAAAATGTGGGAAGGGAGGGCACTCTATATTTCTAAGTAGGCAATATTTATGATGAGTTTTCAAACATGAATTAGCCGTTTCAAAAATACAGATCCAAGGCAATCCATGGGAAAATCACGAATGGAAAACTTTGAATTTAGCAAAAAAATAAAATAACTATTACTGATTCCATCGTTTGAAACGTAGCATCGCCGGGACTCTTAAACATGGCAAGCCCGGTTTTCTCCCTTTAATCAGAGAAGTCGAATTGACTAATTCGTTACGTTACGGGTAATTTAAACAGTTATTGTTGTTAAATGAAATCGACCAGAATATAAAATTTAGCAAGATGGGAAGAAACGAGGGATGATGTGCCGTTTGAAACAGAAATCCTTCGATTCTCGAACTGGTTAAAAGGTTAGACGCCACGAGGCCGAGTTAGCTAACACAAGCTCAATGAGGGGGCAATCGTGTTCATAAGTTGAACTGGATCTAGAATGAAGTGTCATTTCCGTTTTCATCTGACTGAAAAAGATGACATTAGTTTCATTTGACATGGAATACCAACAAGCCTCTCGCAGCAGTGGCGTAGGAAGGGGATGCAGAGTAAGGGGGGGGGGGTCCGCCCGCGGGGCGGCACTTTTTTTTTCGTTATACGGAGGGTGACACTTTCAGACAACTGCAAAGTTATTTTCGTGGGATGGGCGGGAAAAAAATCATGACCCGCCCCTAGCGGCCCTTATCCTCCTAGCCACGCCACCGACTTGCCGTGCACGCTTTTGAAATTTGTTTAAAGGGCAAATTAATCGGCGCAACAATTATTTGAGTTCATCTAACCTTTCTTAAGGCGAGGCCTTCAATGGCCAAAATGCTGCGTTTATGAAAGATTTCAATAGTTTGAGAAATCGTTTTTTTAAAGCTTGGCATGGAGTAGGTTTGCGTTATAGAACTTCAGCGAAACAAATCTTCAAAAAGTTGGAGCTTTAGGCTTGGGTGGGAAACAAACCTTCGAAAGAGTTACATCATTCGTTTGTGACAGTGTGTCTTCGGGGGGCGGAGGGGCATTTCAGTTTTTTGATGCTCAATGCCGGCGGCCACAGGCGAAGCTAAGGGGGACACACGTCCCCAGGCGCCTGATTAGTTGGGGCGCCAAAGGGGGCTTTGATGGTATATAATGGATGAAAATAATGGGTTTCAGATTTGAGGGCGGGGAAGGAAAAATTAATCTATCCCCTGGAGCCAAACACTCTAGCTACGCCTCTGCCAGTGACACGACACAGAAGGGATGGTGGATGGGGAAGCCACCTAGGTGCCACTTGTTCTTTATATGAAGGTGTTGCATTTTCGAACAACTGCAGAGCTTTATCGTGAAAGGGAGTGCGGCAAAAATCTTGGGTCACCCCTGGTGGCACTTATGCTAAGCTGCGTCGTCAGGCAGTGTATCTACCCTCACCAAACTTGGCAATCATTTACATCGGGATGTAGGGCATAAATCGAGGGCGCCGACGGATCTTGAGCGCAAGAGGGATCTGGGGGAGCGCCCTAAATCAGAAAAGTTTTAATTATTTCAAAATCAAGAGGTGTATTTTGAAGCATAAATGAATTCAATGTTTCTCTTAGACTTTTTGATGGGGTGGTGGAGATTTTTAAGTGTTTAGGAGATGTCTTTTTGTGTTCAGTGCCATACGTAAACTGAATTCACTCCGATTGTAGGGTGTTCAGGGTAATCATTTGGCACAAGCTTATATTCAACTCCATACTATAACATTGATCAGCGTGAGGGAAGGGGGTGCAGAAACTGAGGTTGTCGAAGACAGTCTGGTCAATTCAAAATGCAGTGATGCATATTTGAATTCAGTGGGTGTTTTCAGACAATTTTGAGGGGGTATTTCAAACTTTCGGGTTGGGAAGCGCAAAATTGGGCATACTGGTCGAGGACATCTTATGATTCCGCCCAGCCCAACATCAACTAAATTCATTTCGGCTGTGTCACCTTTGATGGTATTCTCTTGCCCTAGCGTATTTTAAAAAGAAGGTTTTCATCAGAAAAAGCACTGCTAACATTATTTTACATGTTGATCGCAAATGTAAAAAAAAAAAAAAAAAAAAAGTACTTGATTACTTTTTTTATTTCCGAATTTTGCACGTGTAAAAAAAAAAAAAAAAAAAAAAAAATAAAAAGCAAAAAAAAAAAACAACTGTTTATTAGAAATATCTATACCCGCTACAGTTTTCTTGGCTTTTTTTTTTTTTCAAACTGGTCATTTTTAAAAATGGTCGTGTATGAACGGCATACTTATGTTAAGAAGACATGACCTGTTTACAAAATACATCATATAGTTATTTATGTGTCATTTTATAGAGGTGGGGGGGGGGCATCATTTAAAAATAAAGTATATTTTCCCAAAATTCAGTTGATTGAAATTTTTATTTGGGTTACAAACTTCTATAACTTTCTTCAAATAAATTACAGAATACTCTTCGATATAATCCACAGAATTTATTTTTAAATTGACGATTTAGGAAAAAAGCTACACACAGGGCGAAATGTTGAGTTAGATCAGTTTAACTGGACACACGTACAGCTACACACAGGGCGAAATGTTGAGTTAGATCAGTTTAACTGGACACACGTACAGCTACACACAGGGCGAAATGCTAAGTTAGATCAGTTTAAAAGGACACACACAATAAGTATAAGCCATAGGACAAGGCAATATTGTAAGTCAAATTAATGTACAGAGGTAGCACCCCTCCCCCACCCCCACACCACACACACACAGACGATTAGGTTTAATGTTCAAATCTTTTCAAACGAAAAGCAAAGCACGTAGTTCTAGGCTTTGTTATGTTCAACCATGACTTCAAGATGGATTAAACTTTAGAAAAAAAATTAAATGACCAACATCTGGACGAAATGAGACGAGATCTTTGTGTTGGTGTTGGACTATATTCTATTAAAATCATTCTATTTAAATCATTCTATTCAAATGATAGCTGGAAATTTTTTTTATGTTTTTCTTTTCAAGGCATTAAAACTCAAGTGCCGCCTCGCTCCCCCCCCCACCCCACCAAAAGAAAAATGAAGCACGTGTAAAAATCAATTGGGCTTTTATAAACACACCTCTGGCTGGTTTACACATGACCGTACCGTCCTTTATAATCTTCGGAACAAGTCATAGCTCCCGCTGACAAGATCATCTTGTTATGTTAGGTACGCCTCTGCCACAGACTGCCCTATTTGTTATGTTAGGTACGCCTCTGCCACAGACTGCCCTATTTGTTATGCTAGGTACGCCTTTGTCACAGACTACCCTATTTATCATGCTAGGTATGCTTCTGCTACAGACTACCCTATTTATTATGCCAGGTATGCCTTTGCTACAGACTACCCTATTTGTTATGGTAGGTACGCCTCTGCCACAGACTGCCCTATTTGTTATGTTAGGTACGCCTCTGCCACATACTGCCCTATTTGTTATGTTAGGTACGCCTTTGTCACAGACTACCCTATTTATTATGCCAGGTATGCCTTTGCTACAGACTACCCTATTTATTATGCCAGGTATGCCTCTGCTACAGACAAGCCTATTTGTTATGCAAGGTATATACACCTTGCCAGAGACTACCCTTTTTGTTATGCAAGGTACGCCTCTGCTACAGACAACCCCACATTTATGTTAAAGATTACCCTACTGTGGTGGCAGATACACCCTTGTTATAGACCAGCGTTTCACTATATTTTAAGTGTGACGGAACAGTGGACCAATTTCGACACGGCCCCGGGGACCTGTGCAATATTAGGGACGTGTGCAATATTAGGGACCTGTGCAATATTAGGGACCTGTGCAATATTAGGGACCTGTGCAATATTAGGGATCTGTGCAATATTGGGGACCTGTGCAATATTAGGGACCTGTGCAATATTAGGGACCTGTGCAATATTAGGGACCTGTGCAATATTAGGGACCTGTGCAATATTAGGGACCTGTGCAACATTTACTTCTAATAATATAATTTGTATATTTATTTGACCATAAAAATTCATGTTGTGCTGACTGGCCCGGATCAGTGATATTTATAATAAAAAAGTGCAAGCCTTAAACAAGATTAGTCGCACGTTGATCATCATTATATACCGAGCGTAGTGATATGTCATGGGTTTCACTAATTGTAATCGGTTAAAGGCACCAGTTACTTCACTTTTCAAAAATGTTTTAAAATGATAATTTAATCGTTTTTTTTATATATATATAAATATACTTTCGTTTGATGGTTGTATACATTCTTTTTTCCCAGGATAGTGGTGGTAGACTTGACGCGTAAAGTATACTTAAAGTAAACGGACGTAGTTTTTTTTTTTTCTAATGGGCTCAGGTCATCAGGGCGTTGCACCGGAAGCAGTCTGCCCACAAACGCCAGAGGAGGTTTTCTTATTCAACTGAAACGCTAAATTTTATTTTTTTTTTATTGAAGACCAACATTATCATAATCATTACTTGCGCTTAGAAGTTGAGGCTCTAGGCTCCAGGCTGTAATAACCAAACTAAAACTATGTGATATTGCTCAAATACTTTATTGAATGCTACTTTAACAAATTATTTTTTTAAATATTTTGAATGCAGGAATTAAAATAGAACACTTAATGTAGCTGTTATT